TGTTTAATAAATGCGCATGAGAGAGACTTTTTATATGTTTGTATAATTTTTAAATTAATTGTGCTGAGGGATACACATTAAGTGATATTTGTTTTCTTACGTGATATAAGCTCCAAAAAATAATTACTGTACTTGCTAATTTCATTTTTATATTAATGCCTCTATCATACCCATAATAACAGAGTTGTTCATTTGCTTGTAAATATTTTTACAAGTACTAGTGAACCTTTCTGAAAAGGTTATGCAGTTTGTTTTGTTTTTATCTGATTTTTACTTTATTTATTAATGAGCTTTTTTGGAGATGGATGTTGTCTCAATGTTATTTTCATTGGTAAAAATTGTTATATTATACAGTAAAACTTGTTTAGTACGAACAAGGAATACTGGTATTGTAAAATCACAGATATAGTGAAGTCATCTTAAATGCTCAGTTATATATTAAATAAACGAATTCCATCTACGGATATAGTGAATTGTCAATATATTAAAATAATTTCATAGATTTCTGGAAATGTACTGGGTTTTTATTTTACATACTAGCTGCTAGCAGAAATATAGATACAACTGTAATAATTTCTGCTCCAAATAATTTGCTTTATTTCTAATAACATATTTATTATATCAATATCTTATAAATACGAAAGCTTGTGTATATGATGTATAATCCAGACAATACTGAGACAATATTCAATGCATCTATATAAGAGTACATATAAATGTTTGTATCCATTCACTGATGTACACTTAAAGCCATATATGGCGTAACTGATCAAAAAAATGTATTTTTGAAAAATACAAAATTAAGTAAAGAAATATAGTTAATACATTCAAATTAAAGCTTTTCATATTGTTCTGAACACGGAAAACATCTCGTCTCATCTAAAAATACGATTTTATCTTCTCTGTAATGTGTTATTTAAATCTTTTGTATTTTCTTCCGATACGGAGAAAATTCCGAGAATCAAATTTAAATTGTGATATCTTTATAACGCAATTGACTTAGATTTTGTAATTTACGGAAAAGTTTTATCTTTATATAAAGTTATGATACAAATAATAAGTTTTTATAATTTTAGTCTAATAATTTTCAATGCACATACGCCATATATGGCTTTAACAATTACTATTGCAATATGATAAAGTTGACTAAAGTTTGAATTGATTATTATGTAATGTTCATAGTCATTGAAATTATATGACAGTATCAAAAAAGCATTTTGTGGGATACACATATATCCCTCACTAAGTTAATCTTCTAGATTATTTTATATCACACTCTTTAACTATTAGAAAATAAATGTATAATGTAAAACGTTTCAAGGTCAATGCTTAAAGCAATGCTATGTAGATTTGATGTATATATCTGAAATAGTTTGTGTAACAGAATTTAATTTGGTAGCTAATTCATGGACAAACACTGCTGCAAGATATTGCACAGATATTTTAAAAAGACATATTGAATATGTTACATGCTTTGATTTTATATTGTACTTAGTTAAATGCAAGTATAAGTATTTTATACTTGATATGCTTTTTTTCTTGATTTTTAAAATCAATACTGAATTTTCCATCAGGACAGATTGTGTTTTGATTTCGCAAACAATCATTTTAATGGATTTCATTTTACACTTCTTTGCACCACATTACCATATATTATGATAAGTGTATATAGAATTAAAAAAAGAGAGTTTAATAACATATTTATAGACATGCGAGTGTTATGAAAAGAAGGATATCGCATAACATGCCCTTTATGCAAGGGAGGTAAACCATCCACCTTTAAAGCGGCACAGTGAGTCAAAGTCATATCTTAATTTTAAGATATCTGTAGCATACAGAGAAAGACTTATGAAAATTATGAGTATATAGCGAAGAGATGACAACTAAACTGCAAGAATTGACTGCACAATATAAGTGCCGGAAAAACAAAGGTTGTATCTACCGTTTCGTTGTTTCGTATATATGTCAAGGTCACGCAACTCTTATTTTTAGCTCAAACTTGTAAACAACATTCAACTGGAGCATGCAAAGGTGGGAAATATGTTCTAACAACTTTTTTAAAAGATTAAATCAATTTTTTTGTCTTTTTACATTCATTCGTGGATACCTGAGACCATGGTAACTATGGAAACTTATTCAACACTTTTCTGCGCACGCGTACAATAGGGAGGAAGAAGTACCAGGGTATTTTCCAATATTTTCGTTCTGGGGCAGACAGAAATTATTTTTACTTTTATTTTTCCCCATAAAAATATAATTTTTAGGTTCTGAAACCTGTAATTTTCTGAAATTGAATAATTTTAGGAATTGAACAAAATTTACAGAGGTCATGCGAAAATTCTACATTTGTCAATTTTCCCCTTTATGCGTCACTGTGCCGCTTTAATAAGAGTCAAGTATTATTCATCAAGTATATACTATGATTATGAAATAAATATTGAGAGGTGAGTATAATGGGAAGAGGGAGGTCACTGGCCAGCCTGTAAAGGGAGGTAAACCATCCCTCTTCATAATGTTCCATACACTACTTATCAAGTATATACTAATTGAATGTAAAACATGATTGACGTATAATACATTTTAAGCACAAAATACTTAAATATGTAGAATTTGAACATGGATTTGTATGTCAAAGAAGAGTGAATATATATAATAGCATATACTTCAAATTATGATCTGTCCTGCTTCGTGTAATTTACAGGATTTAAACACACTTTTCATATTGTAATAGAATACAATCAATAGAATCAGATGTTACTTATTACCTGTGTATATATTATTAACAGTTGAAGATTTTAATGTATTCATACTTCCAAGCTGTTTTGTCACTAAATATTATACAAGTTTTGTTCATGACTATCAGTATCAAAGCTAATGTCTAACAGTGTATTCTTTATATGCTTATAATTATTACAAAACTGATTCTTTTTATTACCATTTCTAGTACCTAAGTTCAGAATATATGAATTAAATAAACAACATTCATTTTGTCTTATGTCTTCTCTCATTGCAAGCTTGTATTTACAAAGTGTCCAAAGGAGAAAAAATGCTATAAATTATGAATTGAGTTAAATGGTTCAATTGTTCATGGAGCATTTGGCAAACCTCGGCTGATTCTGTTATCTTCATCAAGTGAGATTAGATGAGCTACAAATTGGCTGAGATGTACCAAATGGTTTCATGAGGGTTATCATAATGACTGTAGAATCTTTCCATCTTGTATCAGACAGACAACTCAATCATTAATGTCTACTACAAGGTACCTGTATTGGCATATGATCCACTGATTTGCATAGAAAACTGATAATTAAATTTTAATCTCAAAATCTCAGACATATAAATACCTCCCACCTCATTTCTGCCTGTTCAATCAAACCAGTAGAGCTACAGTCTCGACAGAGACTTCTGGTTTGATTTTTAAAATTATTTATTTAAAAATTTGCATTGGCATCGGAAGCAAATTGAAAGGAAGAGGCTTAACTAATAGAAAAAAATTAGCGGGGGGGGGGGGGGGGCTAAACCAGCAAAAAAGGTAATCACAATTTTCAATGCCTATATTATCCTATATATATATTTGCAAAATAGGGGGGGGGGGTAAGTCCCCCCGGTTCCGACGCCTATGTATCTAGTACTAGTAGGCCTATCTTTACCTATCTTGGCCAGAAAAAAGTGGGGGTATTGAGCAAAGTTCTTACCCCTAAAAACATTACTAAGTACCTTGACATTGACAATCATAATTTTTTTTATTTATTTATTAAACCCGTTTTGGAGAGCATCAAGGTAGTAAAGTATTAAAGTTGTGGTTGCCGCTTTCACTTTTAGGGTATGCTACATGGTTATTTGAAAAAAAGGTTAATGAACAGCTGATAAACATGCAGTTGAAATGCAAAAGATTCAAATGTTTTGCCCATGAGTCTGTAACAGTATGTATACTAATGGCTAAGGAATTTGGGTGTTAGTAAAACTGTAAAGTAAAAGTTACATCTTCTTACTCAACAAATCAGTATACAGTAGGAAAAATATATTTGTTCGGTTAATTTTATTCATGTTCTGCCTAAAATTTATGCGAAAAAGAAAGTAATAATACTATTTTCTCACTCGCCCGCTACTACTTTTTTCAGAACAATAAAATTAATTGGTAAAGTCTTAAGGAACAATGTCAGCTAAATGAAAGGGCTATTAAATAAAATTTATACAGTTATCAGGATTGGGTAATGAATCATACATCCGATATAGATGGTATTAAATACCCCAGAAAAGAAATACTCTATTTATTAATTTTACTCTTAACAGGTAGTGGTGGCTATGATTGCGCAACTCTGCAGCAGGAGGACGAAAGCCTTGACCTAGAAGGAGAAGACGGGCGATCCATTGAGTTGGCATCCGACTCAGCTGTCCTTTGGACCAGACCTGCCACACTCCTACTCATTAATCAATATAGAGAAAACGAAGAATTGATAACTAGTGGGAAATTGAGAAAAAAGGCTCTCTGGAACAAAATTGCTGCAACTCTTAAAGAAAAGGAAAATGTAATTTCAGTCCAGGTCAAGTAGAAGGGAGATGGAAAACTTTAATGCGAGGATTGAAAAACGTGAAAGACCACAACAAAAAAAGTGAATCCGAAAGAAAAAGTCATCCTTATGAAGATGAATTAGATTTTATGTCGGCAAAGCCCAACATTCAACCTGAGTGTGTAATTGGCACTAAATCCAACACTGAGACAAAGTCAAACACAGAAACCAAGTCGAACACGGAAGCCAAGTCGAACACGGAAACCAGCACGGAGGAAAGCAACACAGGTAGGCCTGACACTCCTTCAACTTCTACTAAGAGAAAATGTGTGTCTCCTGAAAAGTTAAATGAGAGTTCTAAAAGACGTCGGTCAAATGAAGTTGTAGAAAGTTTGGAACAAATTATGAAGAATGAGAATCAGCGTTTTGAAGAACAAGTGGAAAGGAGACACCGCAAAAAAATGGAAATGTTTGGAAATTTTTTGGAAATTCTAACGCCCGCTCAATTGTCACTCTTGTGCCGGAATGACGATAGTTGTAATTTCTCTGTTGGGGTGTCAAATGGCCTGTGTCACGATAAGGAGTAAGCAACCAGCTTCTCAAAGGATAGGCTCCATCTCCAAGAAAATGTCCATTGCCACAAACTGCCAAACCATTTTCCCATATATCTGTATTCTTAAAAACCTTGGCATCATGGCAGCTTCCAGGCCAACCTGCTATGCAGTGAATGAATCTAAGGTCCTCTCTGCAAATTCCTTGCAAGATAATTGAGTAAAACCCCTTTCTGTTGACATAAGTTTCTGGATGGTTTTTAGGTGCTTTTATTGCAATATGAGTTCCATCTAAAGCACACAATACACCAGGAAAATTTTGTTTTTGTTCAAATTTGTCCATTATTTCCTGGCGTTCATTAGCAGAAGGTAGTAAAATAAAAACTTGTTTTAGATGATTAACAGAAATGTCAGTGATCCTTGTTCGACATCTAATAACAGAGGACTCTGTAACATTAAATCTGTCTGATATGCTGTGAATGCTATCTTGGGTTGCCAAATACCAAAGGCTAATTAACAAGTGTTTATCTGTTGAAATAAATTCTCTTCCACCCGTCCACCCAGGTTGTAACTGTTGAAAGTGGGCAATATTTCTACATAAACATTCAATTGTTGCTCTGGAAACCCGAAAGAAACGTCGGAAGTCATCTAAGTTGTAGAAGGGTACCGTTTCCTCCACATACAATTCTATTCTTGTCTTATTATTCCTTGCCCTGTAATACATTTAAATAACAATTATATTAGCTCATTATTAATTAAAGAGTTTACACATGTACATAATATTAAGCAAAAAATGACCCTTATAAACCTCTCTTTATTTTCAAAATATATCATCTGTCTGGTTTTAATCATTCTTGTCCTATTTAATTACAATACAAAATGTACAAGCAAAAACATAAGATAATTCTCGAGTTTGAAATCGTTTTCCTCTACTGAGACCCCCCCCCTTTGCGCGCCCATAAGCAACACTCATTACTGCTTGTTATATTCTAGATTTAGATATTATTTAAAATCACGTTTGATAAATAAAAAAAAAGTTGTACTGGTAAAAACTGAGGCAAAATTTGAGAAAATGTCTATTAATAAATAATAGGACCTGTGAACACTGGTTTACTCACGTTGACAACAAAGTAGCGGCAAATAGTTGCATAAATCTTTGAAAATGTTGACGTGATTCCCCCTCGTTTTCAAGCAATTCATCCAGAAAAGTTGCATTAACGCCTGAAATAACAAGTTGTCCGCCATAGTCTGTGTTCTTTCTGCACCATTCGCTTTGCACGAGAATTTGTCTGGGACTTGTCTACAACAGGTCAATGGGACCAGTATGTGCATCTGTCACAATAAATTTAACCTTGATCATAACTTTTGAATAATATGAGATAGGGCTTTCATATTTCACATGTACATTACCACAAAACTTTCTAAATGTACTATGATTTTTTAACCCAAGTGAGACCTTGAACTTAAAATTTTACCTACTTTCCAAAAAATAACATTTTAAATTAATCATTTTGAAAGAGAAAAGATATGCCATTTAAATTATACATGTATATTACATGTTAAAAGACTTTTCTAAATATATCATGACTTTTGACTCTGTGATCTTGACCTAGAAGTTTAACCTACTTTTCAAAAATATTATATTATAATTTTATATATCATAGGCGTAGTCACAGGGGGGGCAGCGGGGGCACTAGCCCCCCCACTTTCAGATCTGGGGGGGCAAGAGTATGTCTGTGCCCCCCCACTTTTTAATGAGGAACAGAATCACAGCTATTTTGAAGTAATATTAACACATAGTTGTATAATAAAATTGTGTAGAAAAATTAAAATTGAAAGTAACTTGCCTCTGAAAAAAAGTTGGCCACTACCCCCCCCCTCCCCCCCCCCCCCCCCCCCCCACGAAATAGGATTTTCGAGTGTGGGGAACTTTACTCCCTTTTTTTTTTTTTTTTTTTTTTTTTTTTTGCTTGTCAAAGAATTTCTGGACTTGAGCCCCCCCCACTTTTAAGTTTTTTTTTTTTTTTTTTTGCTTGTCAAAGAATTTCTGGACTTGAGCCCCCCACTTTTAAGGTTTTTTTTTTTTTTTTTTTTTTGCTTGTAAAATAATTTCTTGACTTGAGCCCCCCCACTTTTAAGTTTGTGACTACGCCTCTGTATATATATAACTTTTGATTGAAAAGAGATGGGACTTTCATATTTGACATGTACTTTACCTGCAACAAAATATTTCGAGCATGCGATGATTTCCCCACTTTGACCTAATTTTCATAAAGTGACATATGATAGGGGTGCATATTTGATACACAATCTGCCATAAATTATGGCATCCCATTCACTTCAACACAGAAAGCAGAGGACCACAATTCTTTGAATTTGCATGTATAATCTTGATATGGAAACATTCTCATATAATGTAGATTCAAGTTTTTTATGCTACGCCATGATTAGGAAAACATGTATTAGTTTTTTTTGTCATGTCCGTCCTCCGCCCTTCCATCTGTCTTTCCATCGAGCTCAAAGAAATTACTTTCTAGATATTATTATCAAAGTTCATATGTTGATGCATATACTGATGTAAACTATCCAACCGCGGCAATATTTTTTTACCTTTACTTTCCTTTGACCTTAACTTTTCTTAAAATTAGTGTTTAGCTTTATTTTAAAGAAACCATGATTTAAGTTGTGTAATGAAACTTCACATGATGATACGTACTGATGTAAGCTTTACAATGCTTCACTCTTTTTTACCTTGACATTTCCTGTGATCTTGACCTCACTTTTCTAAAATTAATGTCTTAAGTAGACTAGATCAGGCCCCGGGATTATGAAGCATCTTAAGCTTATGTCAAAAAATAACTTAGATGCTAAACTTTTTTATAGGTTAAGCAGTCCAAAATGAAAATGCCTTCCGATTTTGTATTATCAGTCTGCTGTTGTATGCAAATTATGAATTTCCTTTAACAAGTTTCAAAGACTTTATAGATAATTGAAATTTTGACTTAAGTCTAAGTCTGTTTCATGATCCCGGGGCTAGTTTTGAATAAACAGTTCAAGATATATTTATCAAACTTCATATGCTAATACATATTGATGAGAGCTATTATTGCATTAACTTATTTTGACCTTGACCTCACTTATTAAAATATGTGTTTTTTCTAAGTTTTAAATAAACCATTAATTATATTTTAATCAAACTTCATATGCTAATAGTAAATTCACACTGATGTAAGCTTTTCAGCTAGAACAACATTTTGACCTTAACCTTTCCTTTGACCTCTCTTTTCTTAAAACAAAGTGTTAAGTTCAGTTTCACTCAAGACATTTTTATCAAACATAAATATATATGCTGATATGTATTAGTGAGAGCTATTCAGCTGCATCAAAAACTTCATCTTGCACATCCCTGTGACCTTGACCTCCCTCCTCTTTAATTTGTTTTTTTTGCTTAGTTTTTAAGAAATAATTCAAGACATTTTTATGTTTAACATGCACTTAGAGTGCAGGGAATTAATTTTGTTACATAAACCAGCATCAGGATCAGTATAAGTAGGATCAGGATAGAACTAGCATCAGGATTTTAAAAAAAACAGCATTACTTGGATCAGCATCAGCAAGCAAAGGATAGAACTAGCATTGACCAAAGTGAAAACATATAAAGGAAAGTCATTTAATACAAATTACAAATAAAAATTACCCCCAAAATTAATTTTAATGGCTTAAAATACCGATGCTGTTTTTTAGCTCTACTGGTCAGAGACCAGAAGAGCTTATGCGATAGTAATGCGTCCGGCGTCCGTCCGTCTGTCTGTCTGTCTGTCCGTCTGTCTGTAAACAATTTTTCAAAACGCTACTCCTCCTACAGTTTTGGTCTGATTTCAATATAACTTGGCACACAAGTAGACTACACTAAGATACATAGAATAGTGCATCGGTTTTTAATTTCGATGAACGGTGTTGCCATGGTTACTAAAAATAGAATTTTCTATGAAATTCCTTTAAAATGCTAATCCTTCTACAATTTTGGTCTGATTTCAATATAACTTGGCACACAAGTAGACTACACTAATATACATAGAATAGTGCATCGGTTTTTGATTTCAATGAACGGTGTTGCCATGGTTACTAAAAATAGAATTTTCTATGAAATTCCTTTAAAATGCTAATCCTTCTACAGTTTTGGTCTGATTTCAATATAACTTGGCACACAAGTAGACTACACTAAGATACATAGAATAGTGCATCGGTTTTTAATTTCGATGAACGGTGTTGCCATCGTTACTAAAAATAGAATTTTCTGTGAAATTCCTTTGAAACTCTACTCCTTCTACAGTTTTGGTCTGATTTCAATATAACTTGGCACACAAGTAGACTACACTAAGTTACAAAGAATAGTGCATGGGTTTTTGATTTCAATGAACGGTGTTGCCATGGTCACTAAAAATAGAACTTTCTGCGAAATTCTTTTAAAACGCTACTCCTTCTACAGTTTTGGTCGGATTTCAGTATAACTTGGCACACAAGTAGACTACACTAAGATAAATAGAATAGTGCATCGGTTTTTGATTTCAATGAACGGTGTTGCCATAGTTACTAAAAATAGAATTATCTTTGAAATTCCTTTAAAATGCTACTCCTTCTACAGTTTTAGTGTGATTTCGAAATAAGTTGGCACACAAGTAGACTACACAAAGATACATTAAATAGTGAAATGGTTTTTGATAAGTGCAAACCAGTAGAGCTACAGTCTCGACAGAGACTTCTGGTTAATTATCCACTTCTGGCAGGATAATCCTACTTTCGGTAGCATTACTAGCATAGACCTAGTTTCAAACCAGCATCGGGATAAGGATCAAACCAGGATCCGGATAACTAGCATCAAAATCAGCAAGCAAAGGAAGCATCAAAATCAGCAAGCATAGGAAGCACCAAAATCAGCATTCTGTAACAAAATTATTTCCCTGCATTGTATACATTATTTGATGAGAATTTATTATCTATAATGAATCTATATCCAATTTATTTATATTTTAGTTTCAATTCTGAAAAAAAAAACTGTTTAAGATATTTTCATAAAACTTTATACACTAATACAAATACAAATAGCTCACCTGAACCGAAGGCTCAAGTGAGCTTTTCTGATCACATTTTGTCCGGCGTCCGTCTGTCTGTCTGTAAACTTTTCACATTTTCGACTTCTTCTCTAGAATCACTGGGCCAATTTCAACCAAACTTGCCACAAAGCATCCTTGGGTGAAGAGGATTCAAGTTTGTTCAAATGAAGGGCCACGCCCTAATTCAAGGGGAGATAATTGGGAATTAATGAAAATTCGGTGGCATGTTTTAAAAATCTTCTTCTCAAAAACCACTGTGCCAGGAAAGATGAAACTTTTGGGTTAACATCCTCAGGTAGTGTAGATTCAAGTTTGTTCAAATCATGACCCCCGGGGGTAGGGCTGGGCCAAAATGGCCGACCAAAGTTTTACATAGAAATATATAGGACAAATCTTTAAAAATCTTCTCAAGAATGACACAGCCATAATTCATCAAATTTGTATGGAAGCATCCTCAGCTAGTGAAGATTCAAATTTGTTCAAATCATGACCCCCGGGGATAGGGCGGGGGCCAAAATGGCCGACCAAAGTTTTACATAGAAATTTATGGGAAAATTCTTTAAAAATCTTCTTCTCAAGAATGACAAAGCCATAATTCATCAAATTTATATGGAAGTATCCTCAGGTAGTGAAGATTCAAGTTTGTTCAAATCATGACCCCCGGGGGTAGGGCGGGCTAAAATGGCCGACCAAAGTTTTACATAGAAATTAATGGGAAAATTCTTTAAAAATCTTCTTCTCAAGAATGACAAAGCCATAATTCATCAAATTTATATGGAAGTATCCTCAGGTAGTGACGATTCAAGTTTGTTCAAATCATGACCCCCGGGGGTAGGGCGGGCCAAAATGGCCGACCAAAGTTTTACATAGAAATATATGGGAAAATTCTTTGAAGAAAAGCAAATCCATGATTGATCATGGGATTACTTTTGGATTTTAACTTTTCAATAATAAACCAATTTCTACTTTTTTTAGCTACAGTACTCAGGTGAGCGATGTGGCCCATGGGCCTCTTGTTTAATGTACCATTAGTAATACACATCTGGCGGGACATTCATGTCCTATAGACATATTTCTAGTTTTTCAAATCATCACCTCAGGCTAGGGTCAGGCCACAATTAGGGATCAAAGTTTTATTTAGGAATAAAAGGAAACACATCTTTAAAATTCTTCTTTTCAAGAACAC